ACAGTCTCTACCAAATGGAGGATTTTGATTTGTTCTTTCAGGCTTTCCAATCTTCTAGTTATTTCATCCACCTTGGGAGCCATTTTTCTGTTGAACTTGTAATCTTTAACAGAAAAATTTGTACAACAGGAAGGGATTTTAACCTTTCTTACCTTGCTAGTAGAGCCTTGAGCTTCCATCAACTTTCTTCGACAAGCTTCTGTGGAGAATTCGTCAATCACATCATCCATATCATATGCCAAATCCTGAAGATCATCTAGCCACTGCTTCACAGCAATCCTCATATTCTGCTTGTCCTCTGCATCATCAAGCACTGCCTGAATCAGGGATAGCACTTGGCTCCATCGTTTCAGCTGAGTATCCAAGCCTTCTGAGCGTGCAAGTTTCTTCAAATCAACAGAAGCAAGCTTGTCAAATATCACCTTGATGATTGCACCAAGAAAGACTTCTATCATAGCCATTTTTCACTCTTCTTTTTTTTTTCTCCAGATTATATTGTGTAGGTAAGCAACGAGCAAAAAGTCTGAAAACTTGAAAGGGAAGATAAGATTGAAAGATGGGAAACTTGTGGCTGTGTTTGGGCTTGGACTAATAATATTTCGTTTTTTTAATTGCAGAACAGTAAAATCAAAATGATCATTGACTTTTCTTGACCGAGTAATTCATCCGAACTTTTCAATCCCAAAACGGTAAAATGCCGATACATTTTTCAGACCGTTGTACTGTATCAAAACAAACCGACAGATAGGTGTGCCTAGTCTTTCTCTGTCTTCTTCTTTACTCTTCATCAGCCCTAACCTCTCACTGACATAGCATTATCTCATACGTGGGTTTTGTTATTTGTTCTGCCAGGGAAGTAACCAGGAATTTGTGAAAAAATCTTGCACTTACTATTACACGATCCATCAGATTCTTTCACGGGAAAAGTGATCAGCACCACAATATTTCAACTGGCAAGAAAAAAGTTTCCAAAGCACGCTTCTTCACTTCTTATGTAGTACCAGTGGACTTGTATCATCAATCATTAAAGTAACCCACATAGAGAAGTTGCTTATTGGTGCTCTTAGGGTAGTTGTTGTACTTCATTTACAACGTAGTGTACATTACAAATGCTCATCAGCTCATGTATTTATGCATGAGTTGATGAAGACGAATAAAATTCTAAGTACCACAAAATTGTATAAGAGTACACTATATTATGTAAAAAGTATAATAACTAGATAATTGCAACAAAATTCAATTGTACACTACTGGTCTAATTTTGACCATTTTCCTTAGTTGTTTAACTTTACTTAGTGTAATTTGGTTGTATTTCGTGACACAAAATCAATTAAACAACTATAACATCAAACCACATAAGTAGTTGGTATATGTTGTTTCCATAATTCTAATTTTTAAAAAAAAAATTGTTTAAAATATCGTTCACATTTCGTAAAATACATTTTTTCGTCCTCCACTTTCAAAACATTAACTTTATGTACCTCATAAATTTAAGTTAGCAAAGTGTAGTATCAACCAAAGTTTTTGACTACTTTTTAGTCTGAAATCACTACCTGATCCATATACAATCATTTTTTATGTAAGAAAAAAAAATTAGATTTCACTTTTTATTGATAATATATATATTATGCCAAATCTCACTTTTTTTTTGAAAAAAATGAATACATTTTAGATCAAATCCTACTTTTTAAAGAAAACATGAATATCAATCTGGTCATTTGTTTAACTATAAATGAGATTTAACATTTTTGCCCATAAATGAACCCAAATCTCTTAATTATATTCTCTCTTCTCAAACCACCCAACCCATCCCTCTTCCTTCTTTCTCCCCCTCTCTCCAACCATATCTGGGTTACGTGAGAAATAAAAAAATTCATTTAACGAGATGTGAGAAACATTTTAAACGATTTTCTCCTTGTTATTTTTTATGTCAAACGGCAATATCCTACAATTACTCTAATATTATATGGAAGGGTATGGGTCCAATGGGACCATTTGAGTTATTGGAAATTCAGAGGAGACTATCGCCTTTGAAGTCCGAACTAGACGGGTGCAATTGCACCCGTTAGAAGAAGTTTCCTAGAAATCCTGGACTTCAAGAGCACGCGAGGGTTTCAAATCTCCCACCTATACAAAAGGGATATATTTATAAAGTTTGTGATATATATATAAAGAAAGAAATTTAGAAACATTATGAAAGTCCCATCTGAATTAGCAAAATTAATATTCTCTCCGTCTCATTTTATTAGTTATAGTTTCTCCTTTTGCTACTTGAAAAATATTTTTTTATCAATTTGGACAAAAATATTTCTTAACGTCTTAAAATTTTTTGAAGTAAGGATGTGAAGTAGCTATTGATTATTAAACAGGAAAGGTGATTAAGTACATCAACGGGTCCTTGATCAGACTTGCATTTTCTTTAATTGAATGCATTCGTCTATTCCTTTTACCAATGAATTACAAAATAAGATAGATGAAATAAAAAGATAAAGCTTCTAACCAAAACCCTTCTTCTTGGACCCAAAAAGAAAAAGGATAATTATTCTTCTCAGAGAAATATCAAATTAGATAATTATTCTTCTCAAAAAAAACAAAGTGTATAGGAAGTTGACTTGACTTGACTAAGAGCTTAAATCTTAATCCTATAAGGTAAGCAAGGGTCATAGAATTATCAATGGAAATTAGCGTGTTAATTTGTTTGAGTACATCATTGGGGGGGGGGGGGCTCTTCTGAGTCTTGTTGAACAAATGAAGAAACAGCCTTAAGAAATGGGTAAATTACTAATAACTTCTGTGATAATGTATATAACTCTTGAATGATTATGTGGATAAATATAAAATATTACAAGGAGATAAAGAAGATACTCGTACAACTTATAAGAGTGTTAAGTGTATATTATGATTTTATCACATGCATTTTTAGAGTACATCTAATTCAATCACGTTAATTAATGGTGTTTTTCATTTATTTTTTACTTTACATGAAATTATAAGAGAGTTATATGAATATTTTGAAATCTTAGGAAAAAAAATATCATAATATGCAGAGGTTATAAGTAATTTATCCTAAGAAAATTGAAGTTACCTACAGAGATAGGGTTGGTTTTGGTGGGGGGCGAAGAACTAATCAAACCACACTTCTGAACATTGACAATATATGCCATGTACAAAATATGGATTTAAAATGAAAGGATGTAGATTTAACTTCAGGGATACATAATTTTGGCCTTTTTAACTTTAAAAATACTAAATTTTGGCTTTTTGGGAAGCTTTCCTTGAAGAAGATGCTAGTAAGAGTCTTTTGAACTACTTATAACAAATTATAAACATCTTTGTGAAATTAAAACTATTAGTTTTGATTGTTTCTTAAAACAGCTTTTAACTTCTCAAAACATTGAAAACAAGGATGATTTTTCATTGTTTCAAACAAAGTTTTGAAATTATTTCATATTTGAATCCCAAAACTACTCAAACGTACATCGTGTATTTAGAAGGTTGCCTGTGCCAGTTGGGAAGTTATTGATCTAGTGATTAAGATCGAGACCTCAAAAATTAGAGGTCATTAGTTCGAATTCTCTTACCCCCTCCCTCCTATTAAGTCCCGCTCGCAGATTAATCATAAATGATTGATCAACTATTTTACTTTTGGACACAAAATGATAGAATTTTCCTTGTGAAAGGTGACATTCGATCTTGTAGGTTTTCCGTAATTGTGCAAGTATTTGAGGCAAGTATTTTAGCAAGTTTTGATAACCAAATGATCGAAACAGAGAATTTATTAACTAATTAACCATACTAAGGAAGAAGAGAAGATTCACTTGTTCTAAACCTTATATCTGAATGCAACAAGTCGGCTAGGCGCTTGACTAAACCTTCAATCGTTTAAATAAAAGCCCTCCTCATATAATTTCTCAAATATTGAGTCATGACAAGGTGAAGATAGAAATTAAATTAAAGATTCTAAAAATTTTTAAAGATTCTTCTAAATGAGAATAGTTTACAACATATAGAACTTTGAACTCCCAATTTCAAATGATTCTGGATACGTCTATTCTAAAAAGAGTAACAACCTTTTGTAAAGCGGAAAATATTAAAGATGTTAGTCACAATTCAATTATGTTAATTAAATCCGTCCAAATCATCCACTAATTTTGAATGGGTTTAAATGAGTATTCAATTAAACTCATTTAATTGGTAGGTAGTCAGCTGACTCGCCTCATCAATTTATACCCATTTAAAAATAACTATACATTTAAACTCAACTTTTAGTGACTATTAAATAAATAAATTTGAATTTCTTATCAATTTAATAACAATAAATAACCCTTATTTCTTTTCAAACAACATGCAAAAAAAATTTTAAAAAAAAAGTAAAATTGCAAGTAACTCATAAATGGGCAATTGGTTATACATGTATCCATTTATATCCATTTATTTAAATAGATATAAATGGGTTGGCCTAATTTTATCTATTATTCAATTATAACATGCTTAAATCCGTCCAAATTACCTATTTTGACACCTCTAGATAAAATATTACAAGAACTTTTAAGGTGGCTAAGATATTACAGCTAGTGTGCCAATATTTACACAAGGAGGATACTGCACGACATTTTGTTAATTTGTACCACCACTTCTTCCTTCTTACTTCATGTGTCTGATGAAAGAAACGTAAATGTACCACGTACTTCAGCTATGTAAAGCTTACATATTTTGATTTTCTTGGTGATTCAATTGGTCACTGTGTTTGCCTGTCATCTCACTTTCTATAGCCTTGGCAGCAAAGCCAGACGATAACATCCACATGTATATGATGTAAACTTACTCTAGTCGAGTTCGCTATTCCATCTAGCTATTGCAGAAAATTTGGGTCTGTTTGAGACTCCCTCAAATCCACTTACAAACAGAAGAGTACACTTGGATACATTTAAAAAAAAAATTGATGATTAAAATCAAGAAAAAAAATTTTTACATAGAAAGTTACAATTTTACAACCCGGTTTGCACGTACCATCCACACAAACTAAAACCAAGGACTCTGAACAAAGTTAAATTAAAGCTCTTCTTCCCTGGGATCAAGGGAATGGAAAAGGAACTTCTACCAGACAAACTATCTTTGCTGCCTCATACAAGGAGAGTCAAATCATCTGTCTCAAAGAAATGGGACGCCATAGACCGCACTGTCCAGCAATAAAGAAAAGAGAAAAGGTATATGCAAGAGACAGGGCCAGCCAAGATGAGAATAAAGTCTGATCATGAAGCTTAAGAATTTCCTAAGCTGCTTTCCTATTGGGTTGTCACACTCTTTGCAAGATTTCGGGGCTGGTCAACATTATGACCTCCTAGAACAGTTAGATGGTAGGCCAACAACTGCAGGGAAAGATTATTATCAGCGGAAGCATCAGCTTTTATAGCAATGAGAAACAAAAACACAACTCTTGATCATATGGTCTACTTTACCCAGACAAATAAAAATCAAAGACTTGCAGAGCTTGCAAACTTTTCATGGTTCTTGGGCTTAATATTCAAGCTGCTCTGAGAGTTGAAATCATTATTAAGTAGTTTAACAATTTGGTACCTAAAAGTTCCTAAAAATAGCAGCATTTAGGTTCCCGGAGTAAAGAAGATCCATACTGCCAAAATCATCCTTCATCCAACTCAATGAATAGTTAACACAAGAAAAGTTTCCCAATAAAAGTGGGCAATTTACCTGCAATGGAATTACATTAAGTACAAGCTAGAGACAGTCCTCAACATAAGGAAATTCAATTACTCGACAAGATCCACCAACTGATACAGATGCAGAATCTCCTTTCGTGCACATAACTATTAGTCGACCTTTCCTAGCATGAAGTTGCTGGATGACTGATTGTTGTTTGCTGCAGCAAAAGAGATGTTTATGGAACAGATAATAATAAACACGAAACCACTAGTTTATCAAAACATTCAACTAACTGAAACAAGCATCACGAGTAGCAATCACAACAATTGGAAGCTTGTGATCCACTAATGCTAAAGGTCCGCGTTTCATTTCACCTGCAAGAATTCCCTCACTATGCATAAGAGCAACCTCCTTTACCTTCAAGGCGCCTTCTAGAGCTGTTGCATAATTATATCCTCTTCCAAATACAAGAAGTGATTGTTCACTAATGAGCAGTTCGGCAAGATCTTTCATTTCCTCATCCAGCTTGAGAACCACTTTCACTTTGCCTACCGTTTTCAAAAGCATAATATAATAGAATTAGATACCTCAAAAAATATATACTAGAAAGCACACTCTTGTAGACAAAAACTAAAGAATGCTGTAGCTGCAATGCAAGAAACAAGCAAGATGCATACTTGGCAAGTCTAATAGACCATCTATTATTGCTTCTCTCCTTGCTTCATTTGAAATCATGTCTCCTCCAGCAGCAAGGGCCAACATTGCCATAACTACAATTTGACTGGTGTATGCCTGTTGATCAAGGCAACAACATAACAAGTCACATAATAGTAAAACCAAAAGAAAAAAGAATAGAAGGAAATAGGCCAAACACAAAGTGCCAATTACTTGCCTTAGTACTCGCCACACCTATTTCACAACCAGCCTTAATATGCACACCGCAGTGGGTTTTCCTAGCAAGCGCACTTCCTACAGTGTTTGTGATTCCAACGCATAATGCACCATTTTCTAAAGCATAATCTAATGCCTGTAAAGTATCAGCAGTTTCACCAGACTGACTGAAAAAAACAGTTGTGTCTTCCCTGTATATTGGCCCCTGCCCATCCACTAAATCACTAGCAACCTCCAGCGTAACCGGAACACCTTTATACAGGAGAAATCAGTGTAAGAATCAATTTACTAGATGTCATCATCCATACAATATAGCAACAGCTAACAACTAGTACCGGTCGATGTATTTGTGCTCCAAATATAGTTCCTCGAACAGCATTTTCTAAATGAACCAGAGCCAACCCGAATTGATCTTGTAAAAGATCCGCTACAGAACGAATACATTTATTTTTCGAATGATTCATATAGTCAAGTATACCCATTCCAAACTTTAGTCCAATCAAATGATCGCGGCTGCCAATATATCTCGGGAAGTATGTTTTGGAAGTTGGTCAAAATCTGATATTTATATAGATGCGGTATGTAAAGAGTCTTCGTGTATCCATTGCATTTTGCTTGAGCGATGTTTTCTTTTATGTTGTATATGAATTAAATTTTCGGTTTTTTGATTAATTCGTGGTTTACCTTCATGTGATTTTAAGATTGTATTGTCAGTTTGAGTGGGTTTTTTCGGTATTTACTTTTTGGGATTGGTTGTTAATGTTTGGTGTAAATGATTGTTAGATAGTGCTCTTCCAATTGGTGTCAATGATAAATAATGGTATTTCAATTTAAAACTTTTTTTCGTAATGTGGGCCTTAAGTTTTGTACTACCTTTATGATTTTAGAGCTTGTGTGATTAATGTGAAAGTAATAACGAAATTGGCTATAGTTTTATTGACGTTTGATATATTCTTTAAACATGGATATTCTATAAATGTAGATGTTATCATGGAGATGGATATCATCATCTTCAAATTTTTGTTCTTGTTGTTTCTAGAAGAACACCATGAAAAGCTTTAAGGGTCAAAAAAAGTTGTTGTTGAGTCTAGAGTATTATAATTCTCATAGATATCAATTGTTAGTTGTCAGTTTTGCTTGGCTTCCTCTCATTAGCTTCCTCTAATTAGTTTCCCGTATTATGAGTGATTGGAATATTAGAAAATTTATTTCTAATGCTTAGGAGAAAAAAAGAAAATATTCTTTACTGACCACATGAAAGAAGACATTTGAAATTATTTTATAAGAAGTTCGGTGTAATAAAAAAAAATATGATTACCAAGTTCTTAATTATCAAAAAGTGAATGCCCATTTCTACTTTTGCACCGACTGCATACTCAACTAGATAATAAAACATCAATGGTTATAGGAAGCATTAAAAAAGAACATAAGAATATTATTCTAATTACTCAAATCATTTGGTAACGCTTTAGTTTTTATTCTAATTACTCATATTATTGAATCAATTGGTAGCATTTTGTTCATATCATTACTGTCCTAACCGAAATAAAATGACTCTAATTATTAGACAAAAGGGTACTTTGATTGCAGCAAAAACTAAGACAAAAAAAATATTTACACTTCAAATTGCTTACATTCCACTTGTCCAATGACGGAGCTAAGGGGGGCTGATGGAGGCCATGGCCTCCCCTAACTTTTGAAAATTTTAATTTATAGTGTGTAAATATATGTGTAAAATAAAGTTGGCCCCTCCCCCTAATTTTTTACAATTTTAGTTGTTATTATAAGAGTTTATATATATATATATATATATATATATATATATATATATATATATATATATATATATATTATATTTTTATATGATAATGAATCGCAATCTAATTGATGAAATGTTTTACCTGTATCCGACAAGTCAAAAATACAATATATTTCTTTTTTTTTTTTTTAAGTCAATAGGGTTGTCATTGGCGATATCAAATGAGCAATTATTGGTCTGTGAAGATTGAAAAGCTCAGCCCATCTTGACTACCGCCTTCTAATTTCCAAGCCACATATATGCAACGACCTGCAAGTCTTCAGCAAAGAGCAAGAAAAGAGTCATGACACAGGACCAAACTGGCTATGATTATATTCATATATTTTTTTTTCTAAGCAATTTATTGATACTTCTAGCGCCATAGCAATTCGTGAAATCTCTCTATCAAATTTCGATTTCATGTTTTTCTGTCCAGAAAAATCGATTATGGAACATCCAGTAGCTCGCGTAAAAAAAATTAAAAGAAAAAAAAACAATTGCTATGCATGTCCCAATGCCTTTTGCAACTTCTGAAAGTTTTCAATAGCGGATTTAAACTTAATTGTCAAAGTGTTAACGAGCCAATTTGAGGCTAGTCAGTTTGACTGATACAAGTATTATTCATCTTAAGTGCACACAATTACACATTTTCAACAAGTTAGTTTGCCAATTTGTCAGTTGACAAAAGAGCATGAGTAGTACTTCTAGCAGTAGGTCTAACTCATATACATTCAACAAATTATTGAGCTTTGCAAGCTATAAATGGGCTGACTGATTAGGTCTCAAACTTTCTATACTAGGTCAGTTATTGGAACGATACATCCCAAGTTCTTCACAAGTGTTTTGAAAAGCCAAAATCAAAGTTTGGCCTCTTTTAGAATTGTAGTGACTTTAGAAATTAATTTGTTATTGGAGCTTTGTTTTTTAGGGGGTTATTGGAGCTTGCTATATAGGAACTTAATTATTGAAAGACAAGTGTTCAAACATGTAGGTAAAGATAGAATTTAGTGATTGATAGTTGGATTAGATATTATTCATATGTGCAACTAGATGTTAGTGTTTAGCTTACTATTTGTGATTATTAGTTGCAATTTGATTGAATCATAATGCCTTAATTACATATTGCCCACTTGTAGTTAGCAGTCAATAGCAGTTTACTCTCTATATACATGAAATACACAAAATGCTTACTAATGACTAATGCCAAACATTTTAACAACTAGAAAAGTGCACTTGCATTGCACGTGTTTGATCATACCAAAACTTGTCTTACTTTATCTATATATTGTGAAAGACTCAACTCAGCCTTTGATCCATCGCATGCCAAACAAGGCTCATTAACCAACAAGCAATGCAAAACCTTTAATCATGCTGTATAAGTGGCTGTAATTCAGTAGAATAAGGAGAAGTTACGTGATATATCTTAGACGGGAGCTAAGTGCTTCTCCATTAATCTTAGAGTTTCAGCCTTTGTTGTTATTGCTATTGTAGAATCGTGAGAGCCCAGGAAGGGTGAATTCCAATATTCCTAACCATTTTTCATTAGGTTAATTAATTCGAAAGAATGATGACAAGTCAATCTTTCGAGTGCCCTTGGAAACGATAAATATATGACATGCTCCTTGTAATATTATAAATCAGCAATACCTGTCCCTTTTCTTTTGGTATCATCCCTTGATTTTGTTTTTGAGCATTACTGCTTGTAGGATTAAATGTGAAAGTGGAAGTGAGAAGCAGAGTTAGTGTTAGAAAGGCTATTTGCATCTAGGCATTCTAGCTGTAGAAATGGCAAGCAATACAAATAACCTTATTACCTAATGAATCTCAATTGGAAGAAATATATTTTGGCCTTGGATAAGCATGGCTGGCTTACTAACCATTTCTTGCGTGATTTTACACCTTATGTCTCTACCGTGAAATAAGAAGAAGCATGGCTTAAAGTACTGAACTGTGTCCAGTAGTAATTCTTTCATTTGGTAGAATTGACATTCTTGACTTTCTTTGTATTAAAGTACTGAACTGGATTGTGAAGATTTGTGCCGAAGATATAATGATGGTTTACTTAAAGGCCTATGACCATAAGATTTTTTCTGCACTGTCTTTGTGATGGTCGTGCTATCCTTCCATACTGCTGATGTTTATATTCACTAGAAAAAAAAAAAAAAAAAAAAAAGCACGTGCATTGCACGTGTATAATTTATAAAATAATTTTAAAAACTGAATTAAGAATTTTTGTAGTATTTAAAGAAGTGTTCTTGTAGGGACAAGAAAATGTTATAGGACAGAAGTCATTTGAGTTGGCTAACTTTTGATATGTCTTCTATTTCTTTCTTTTAGATAAAATAGCACAAAACATCCTATACATTTTGCCAAGGAATTCTTTCGCCCTCAAATTTAAAATGCTAATATTAAATTCCTTACAAAAATAAACCAGTCCAATTTGGACCAAACCTCTAAATCCAACCATCTTTTGTCATGAAACCACACTTCTGTTAGCAATAAGTTATCTAGAAGTCCTTTGAAGCCATTTTGAAAACATCCAATTTTACTTTATTCTCCCTCTTGCTTTAAAATGAGTATCTATTCACTCTCAAACACAAAGGTTCAAAGTTCTTCACAAAAACATGCTTCATTTATGCCGGATTTTGCCAAAATAATCAAATAACCAATGTCTTCAGATTACCTTATTCTTTATAGGCAAACTGAAAGAGCTTTAATTAGAGAGGAATAAGTTTCGGATTATTTGGTTGTTAACTCATGTTCACATGACAAATCCTATAACTTGCATAAGAAACAAAAAATCAAGAGGCATATTTTGGCTCTTTGGAACATGATGATTTTAAGTTGATATAATTATTTATGTGAATCGACAACTATCTTATTATAAGTTCAGTTGATACCTCAATAGAGATTTTGGATTTGAATTTCTCTTCCTCCTTCGTATTTCTTAAATCTCAACTCTCCCCTAATAAAAAATTTTTAAAAAAATGTGTCATAGTTAATTCTATAAACAAATCAAAGTCACCACCTTTAATATCAATCCAAAATATTCCAAATTCATAAAATGGGATTTAATTTTTAATGACCTTCAATTGATTGGTTATGGTTTGGATAGGTTAAGTAAA